CTCTGCCGGTCCCAAAGTTGCAGATAAATAGGTTTTTTTTACAGTACGGCAGTACATGAGTTTTTCATAACATAACATATGTGCATAGGACTGCTTTTCTCTTGCCTCCTTACATCCAATTCAAGCTAAGTATGGGTAACAATTTTGGCGTCCCACGACTCTTTATTTGGTAACCGAATGCATTAGTTTTGGCCGACCTCCTTTTTTAGATAAAAGCGTAAAAATAAGACTAGCATAAGCCGAAAGCAGGATGGCCTCATAAGTGACCGTCACATACGAAGACAGGTGAATGTTCAAATTATTATTATATGAGTTGCCAAATTAATTGTTTGTGCATTTAGGAATTACCTCGTGATGAGGGTAGAATATTTAGAACTGAGCAACTATCGTAAATGCAAAAGAAGACATAAAGAAGGGATTGAAGCTGAGGGTCCGATCCAAAGCTTATTTAAAGCAATAATGATGGAGCACTTCATTTGATCGATAATAGTGTCCTAGTTGCAGTACATTGATACTGTTCTTTATTTTGACTTGCTTTAACCTTACCAACGAGAGACTTCTCGCACAGGCCTCTGCACTCAACATGTCGCATCGTAATGCTTTATGTAGTAGGCTGTCCGCAGGAGTGGCAATCCCATCTGCGGCTAATTCGTTGTGCTGGTTTTTGGGATATGGCACCTGAATGCAAATAATCGGCCAAGTCTTTTGCTGACATGATCCTCCTAGGTTGCTTATAGCCTCCCGATAATTTCGGGTTAGGAGTGGATTTGATGTTCTATTCAGTGCCGCATTCTGTAGGAAATAGAACTCAGTGCTACTTGCAACTTCCTTATCAGCTTTCCTCGTTATCTCATGGCGTGACATTTGGATTGGGTCAACCTCTACTAGTTCTAGCCAAATCATTAGAACATCCTAAAGAACGAAGCTTACACCGTAATGCTTTGTTTATATGACTACCTGATGTCCCATGGTTACTTTAAGATTCGTCTGGCCCTTGTGCACGTATGCTTGCCTTAGGACAAATCTCAGGTCCAATCTCTTTAATCTCCCTGGAATAAATGTATTCAGCTCCACTGACTGTCATCATTGGTTATGTAGGAAGCCTCGGAACGCTACACTAATGGCAGCGGATAGCGAATTCGACATTTTATTAACGGCTTCTATCCTGGAATGTACCGTTTGTTGCACGTACCTGCGATGCGGAGGAGGAGAATTTAAATCAGTGGTGAAACCTTCACAACAAATGATTGAAAATGACGTCTGTGGTTGGCTTTGCTTTGGCAAGCCATCAACAAATGAAGCAGCACCACCATGAACCATATACCAAAGTTTCGTGCCGGAATTTCCCCTACTACATCCGTGTATAGGTGTCAAAATTGACGCTACGTCTCTCCTTATACACGGGACTGTATCTGATTCCGTTTGCTCCGTAATACATCTGTTTTAGACCAGATTTCCCCTGCTTAGTTCTGGAGGTAATCGATGGTCAAGAGATATATGCGGCCTCGATTCTGTCTGTTGGAACAAACGCAGCTCCAAATTTAATTGAAGCTGCCAAGGAGACCAAGTATAGTTCCTTAGCCTGGTGGTAGTTGTTTGCTGGCGCCGCCAGCTCATGGGTGTTTTCTGCAGTACCGAATATGTTGTGATAGCTGGCGCGAAAGATGTACCAAGGAAGCACCGAGGACGTTGCTCAAAGGAAGAGAGGAACAGTGTAATGCTTTGTTCACTTAACTACCTGATGTTTTGCGGTAATTTAAGATTGGTCTGAATCTTGCACGCTTGGGCTGACATTCGGGTCGTGCTCAGGCCCAGTTGCCTTGTTCTCCTTGGAATACATATATGCATGTTCACTTACTGCCTTCTTACAACCAATCAGAAGTCTTAAAACGCTACATACACCTTTTTGAAATACGCATTGTACGCATTGGTATTCTATATTTGCACAGAAAAATTTGAGCTACACTCAAAAATATTTTGTTGTTTTTAGCCTTTTGCTGCATGGTTCACGTATCAACCAATAAAAAAACAACGCTTTGTTGGAATCATTGGCTTTGAGATCATTTGTTTGTTCTCGTCAATGTTGAGGTCAGCCGTGCATGCATTAAAGCTCAAACATCGCTCCTGTCTGTTGTTGCCGTCGTTTTCCCAGTATGTCGTTGGTGAGTTTTGTTGCTTGCTTTTTGTTACCCTCTTATCTTTATAACAATCTATTTCTCTTATGTCCCCTCAGGTGTTATGTAAACAAACTGAGAAATCGGAGAAGGTGTATGAGAAAGAGGCCAAGTATGGTGCTCATAATTACCATCCAATCGAGGTTGTACTTTGTCGCGGGGAGGGGCCCTATGTGTGGGACATTGAGGGAAATAAATACCTTGATTTCTTGAGCGCATATACTGCTGTTAGTCAAGGACATTGTCATCCTAGGATTGTAAAAGCACTGGTTGATCAGGCTCAACAGCTTACTCTTGTATCGAGAGCTTTTTATACGGACCTACTTGGAGAATATGAGGAGTATATCACAAAATTGTTTGGATATGACAAAGTTCTTCCAATGAATACAGGTAATTCACCAGCTTGATCGTCGTTTTGGCGATTTCGGTCTACCAGTGTGTTTTTATAGGTGTCGAAGGCGGTGAGACAGCCATTAAATTAGCCCGAAAGTGGGGATATAAGGTCAAAAAGATACCACGCAATGAGGCCATTGTTATTTTCGCTGAGGGTAACTTCTGGGGCCGAACGTTAGCGGCCTGTTCTTCTTCAACCGACCCATCTTGTTACTCCGACTACGGGCCGTTCATGCCGGGCTTTGAAATTGTTCCTTACGACGACATTCCAGCACTTGAAGAAAAGTTAAAAAACCCGAACGTGGCTGCCTTTATGGTCGAACCAATTCAAGGGGAGGCTGGCGTTCGTGTACCCTCTGATGGCTACCTTCGTAAAGTCCGCGAGCTCTGCACAAAATACAATGTTCTTTGGATTTCAGATGAAGTCCAAACTGGACTTGGTCGCACTGGTCGGTAGGTTACTGGCTAAGGTTACTTTGGTGAACATCTTCCTCTTTAACCTGCTTTATCATCTAACTTCAGGCGTTTGTGTGCTGACTACGAAGATGTCAAGGCAGATATTGTGATTCTGGGAAAGGCACTCTCCGGTGGTCTGTTGCCCGTGTCGGCTGTTCTGGCCAACGACGACGTTATGCTCACTATCATGCCAGGAGAGCACGGCTCGACCTATGGGGGAAACCCTCTGGCTTGCCGTGTCGCCATGGCCGCCCTCCAAGTTATGGAAGATGAGCATCTTGCCCAGCATGCCGATGCAATGGGCAAGATATTTAGAGAATCAATGGAAACTCTACCAAAAAGCGTGGTTTCTTGTGTTCGTGGCAAGGGTCTCCTAAATGCTGTTGTAGTGAATGAGAAATTCGATGCAATGGAGATTTCCCTTAAGCTGCGTGACCACGGAATTCTTGCCAAGCCTACACGTCGGTCAATCATTCGTTTCGCCCCAGCTCTTGTAATTAGTGAGGAAGACTTGAAGAAGGGGTGTGAAATCATTCACAAAGTCTTTGCTATGTTTGCAGATGCGTAGACTTTTCTCGTTTTTTGAACATTAAATTTTTATGGTGCTATCTTCATTTTTATGTTTTGAAAACAAAACCAAAAATGTTGGCAACTATGGCAAAGCGGTGTCCTACAGGTTACATTACGTATAAGGACTTTGACGCGTTTGCTAGTTTCGAAACGCAGAAGTGGGTTTTGTGACCACACGTAATTCCGTGGGAGTGGCGTTTTTGAGATCTGCGTCCTACAGCAGAGCTATTTAGTACGTGGAGGTGTAAAAATGGCTCTGTACAAGTAAGTTTTACCGTTGGACCGCTAGCATGATTATGGAATGCTTGTTCATGGCTTAGTTTAAACCTCAGCATTTTACTGAGGTATATTTTTGTGGATATTTTAGCAAGCCAGTGCACAATTGAAACAAGGTGAGCAAACAATTAGACCCTATAAAATAACCTCAAATCAAGCCAACTGCAACTAGGATGTTAATTTAATGTTGCGCCAAAGAAATATGGATTATGAATAAAATTAGCTCCAGTAAAAGGAACGCTACATGCGGCCATTGATTTACTGACATGCAATGTCAAGGGTAAGGAATCACTTTTAGTTGACTGATGGGTGTTTAATCACAAGGGCAAAATGAGCATCAACTGACGTAGCAAGAGTCGCCCGCAATGGTCTAATAGCGCAAGACCGCAGTCCGCGAGTAACAAAAACTTATTCAGAAAAATTCGCTTTTGTCGCAGTCCAAATGAATTAAATATTAAAGTAGCATAAAATGAATAAGCCGAAGTTTCTCGATGAAATCAGGCGATTACTAAGAAGAACGAACAGTAAAATTTGTACTCTCCGCATATTTTTCCGACTTTGTCCTCACATCCAACCCG